AGGCATCTACACAAAAAAATAAAGAGAGCAAAAAGGGGGAGGTGGGGGGGGGGGGGAGGGAGAGGGAAAGGGAGAAGGAGAGGGAGAGGGAGAGGGAGAGGAGCAGGGACAAGACAGGGATGGGGGGTGGGGTCATATGTGATCTTCACAGATTCAAAGCTACACATAATGAGATCCCAGGGCTAAGAGGCACTTGCCAGACCCACACTTACATTTGGGCCTCATATTCTTTTTCCAATGCTGCTGTTTTGAGGCTTCATTCAAAGACTGATTGCTCTGGGCTTGTCAGCCCTCTCAAGGGCAGGTACTGCTCTGAGCTGCCCTCCCTTTCTGAGTCAGGCCTCCTGGTGAGCAGTCACTCAAGTGTGAGAAATCTGTCTGAGGGGAGGTCTGTGGCTGTTGAGTGCCTGCTGAAAGACCCCTTGGATTATGTACTTCGGACATCTTGTGGCCCTGACAGGGAAACCAAGCCCCACAACTCCGTACTCCACGAGGCTCTCTGTCATCTGAACAAACGAGGAGGAGGAAAGCAGACAAATTGGGTTTAAGTTCCACCACAGAGGGGCTGGAGAGTTGGTTCAACAATTAAGAACTTCTTGCAGAGGACTCAGGTTTGGTTCCCAGCACCCATACAGCAAGCAGATCACAACCATCTGTAACTCCACTTCCAGAGGATCCAACACCTTCTTCTGGCTTCAATGGGCATTGCATGTACATGATACACTCACATGCAGGCAAAACACTCATACACATAAAACAAAAATGAAAAAATCAAAAACATTTTAGTTCCTCCACCCACCTTCATGCACGCACACTAGCTGTGCAACTCTGAGCATGACCTCTCTGAACCTCAACCTCCATGTCTCTAGAAGTATACTGTCAGTAGTACCAGCCACATGCAGAGACCAGGAAAACCCGGTGTGCTTGTCTTGCTGGAAGCAGATTCTAAGCTGTACACTGGGACTTAAAGCAAAGAGCAGGGTTTATTCCATGTTCAGAAACTGAGGGATTATGCTCTCACATCTTTGTCCACTCCTTTGCCACAATCCTCCCTCAGTTCTCTACATTGACCCTGCCTTAGTCTAGGGACAGAGCGACCCATTTAGGAACTGAAGGTTAACAACTCAGAAGCCAAGGATATTGTGAAGATGGCAAGAGGCCAATCCATCGCTTATGATTTCTTTGAACTTCTCTAGGGTTAGAGGCAGTCAAAAGCAAGACATTTGGGTATGAAATAAAGCCCCAATGTATAGTTCTATGGTTCCATGTGTATCTGGTGTGTCTTCCCTGGGGCCAATGGGGCAGGAAGGTAACTCTGGCCATTTCCTTGTACAGTCAAGCATGTACATGCCCTCTCCCCACACCAACCATTTCTTTAATTCTTTGATGTGACCTTTGCTCCCTTCCAGCACCTAGCTTGGTGTAATGCACATATGCATATAATAAGGCTGAAATGTGAGTCCTCTCTCTGTTTCAGGTGAGCATGTCAGTTCCTACAGGACAGCAGCCTGATAAATGACTAATACAATTGGAGCTCCGTATCTGTCATCACATCTAGGTGACTCTGACAGAGTTAAATCTACCTATTGCCCCTCAGTTCCCTCTTCATACAACATAAGTGTGTACTTACATGGTATCAGATATGGAAAAGACCTTGGAAGTCATCTCTTCCTCCCTCCAAACTACTCATGAGGAAACTGAGGCCCAGAGAGGGATGTGACACATCCAACATCACAGGAGGAATCAGGACACAGACTGATTTAAGTGTGGTCTCTGTTATATACTGTAATCTCTTACTTGTTCTGTGACAAACTTCAAATACAACTTACCTCTGGTAAAATCTAATGGTGATACTAAATGAGGACATCCACACACATTCTACTCACACATACATAGTGCATACATGTATACATGTGATAAGAATCCTCACTTAGTTCCACTAAATGTACACTGGGAAGGATCCTGGAGGCTCACTACCCACATGTGGTCCAACATGGGTTACCACACCATACTCCAGTTACTGCACTCACTCATAGGTTATTCATATGTGCATAGCACATGTGCATATGTGCATAGGGATCTTCCAAATATATGTAGGTACATGGTCCCAGACACCCTCTCCTGTGGATGCTGTCCCTAAGTACACATGGGACTTCTGCATAGTTGTTCCTTTTGTTATTTTATTTGTTTTTGTTGTTTTGAGACTAGACCTTGCTATGTAGCCCAGGCTGGCCTTGGCCTCACTATGTAGCCCAGCCTGGCCTTGAACTCAAGGCAGTCTGCCTGCCTCAGTCTCCTGAGTGCTGGAATTATAGGAGTGCACCATGGTGCTCAGCTCCATGTACCTGTTCAAGTGCCTGTTCGCATGGGATTGAGCTTTCACACTCACCACGCAGGCTCACATTCACGTTCATACATACATGTGCATTAGGTAAGTGCTCTTACATGTGCTTGCTCACACCCCGGGCCCT